AGGATTATCTCTAAATGGTCATCCAATGACCTGATTATTGCCCTTTGGGGAATGACTGCCAGAGGATGTTTTTATTGATAATTTATTTTACAGGAACCATCTGTTGCCCCATAAGACATCCAGAACCAGAACAGGAGATGGATGTTGTGGACTTGTTCTACTGTACAGGACAGGACAAGTGTGTTTTCAGTTAGTTGAAAACCATGGCAAACCATAGCAAAGACCTCCTTCATAGATGCATGTGATTCACTCACATGCATCATTACCCTTAGCATGAGTAATGATCAGTGACTCTTTTTTTTTTATAAAATCAGTGCCTCTTTTAGTAGGTTTGCCTCTTCATTGAATGCTTGAATCCTTGAATCCTTTTCATTTTTCAGAGCAGGGTGGCAGAGCACAGTGGCAACCCACAATGCCACTGTGGTCTCTGCTGAGTGCAAATGAAAGTTATCAGCTTGTTGTGTTGTAAAATGATTAATGTTTTTTTGTCTTTAGTCTCATGTGTTTAAAATGTGGATGAAACCTGATAGAATTAATTTTATATTGTCCCCCCAAATTCAAGTTCTACATTCTTCTGAATTGCTCTAATAACGTTAATTAATTCCTTTAAATTTATCTTCTGCAAAATTTGTTTTGCTGAAGTTAGAAGCATTTAATCAAAATTGCATGGTACTGTGTTGGTGTCCCTATAAACTCAGCTTTCTAGAAAACGCAGTAGGTTCCATCTAGTTGCAATATGAATCCTAGATAGAATTAATTTTATATTGTCCCCCCAAATACAAGTTCTCCTACATTCTTTTGAATTGCTCTAATAACGTTAATTCATTCCTTTAAATGTATCTTCTGCAAAATTTGTTTTGCTGAAGTTAGAAGCATTTAATCAAAATTGCATGCTACTGTGTTGCTGTCCCTATAAACTCAGCTTTCTAGAAAACACAGTAGGTTCTATCTAGTTGTCATATGAATCCTTTACAGAGTTGCACAAAAAACAACACATCTCAGAAAAATGGACAGAGTCCTCCTTCCAAGCTGAAGGTTTGACATTTTTTCAGGAAAGTTCACCATATTGAATGCTTTAGATATTTTTTTGGAAAAGCCAAAAACCAGTTCAAGTGAGCATGCAAACATTCTTGCAAAAATCAAGAAAGTTATTTAAAATTTTGCTCTTTCCATCAACCTTTTTCTAGAGATGATGCTGTTTGAGAAAGCTACTATAATCTTGAGACAACACTGAGCTAAGATAAGCATTACTTTTACCTTTTGTTTTTACAGGACTATCTGACTATTGAAACTGCTGCAAAATGCTTAGAAGGTTTCTAATGATACATTCTTAGATCTTATGACAAGATAACATAATATTAGGTTCACTGGCAAAAGATGGGATTTGTGTTTTGGAGTTTATTCATATAGTGCAGATTCACAACAGGTTTTGTCTAAAGTCGCTTTATAAAATCAACAGATCCAGTTTTATATAGATATAGTCAATTAAATAAAATTTGCTGATTTGAAGTGAATATTTAGAACATTTTGAGGAAAATGGGTCATATCGATGTGTCCTTTGGAAACAAAATTAGCCCATTTAAAATAGGATGGATACTAATGGTGGTACCAGTTCGCATCATTTAAATCTTTCACTTAGTTACAAATCTTTTAGTTACAGATCTTTTGGGGCCATCTTTCTGTGACAGTTCCTCTTCTCCACATGGCTTTGTTGAGTTAACAGGTTTAGCTCCTGACCATAGAGCATACCCCTTCAATGTGAGCCTCCTGCTGTCTGAACAATGGAGAGCCAGTTGGAGGCTGGATGGATTGATTCTCTGCTCTCATTCCACAGCACATACTTTCCCAATGATTCCAATGTTGATTCAGTCTTCCCTTATTACACCATTCATCAGTTCCAGGGAATGAGAAGTCTATTAGAGACACTTCAGCTATGCTGCATCATATTTTTAGCCAATCCATCGGCAGTTTCATTCTTTAATTTCTATAAAAACATATTAAATTGTGAAATCACAGCAATATATGTACATACGTTGTATTTTTTGTACTGATCCCCATGTTGTGCAACATCACTCTAATTTCTGCTGTTAAAAGAAGTACACAACCATATCTTCCTCTTTTTGCCTGAACCAGAACATCCATCTGTTTGGATTCAGACACAAGAGACCATTTCCTTTTATTCTCATTGAGCAAATAAGGCATAAGGTCCACCCCCACCTATTGTTCGGGCAGCCAGCCTCTAGCTGTGGGACAGTGGTCTGGAAGATAGGGGGAAATCAGGCTGCAGTACTCCTCAATACCATCTAAACTCGGTTTCTCAAAAAGCCCCACACAGTAATTTGCAATGCCTGTTACAACTAGTCATAATGATGGACACTTTCTCCTCTTCATCAGTAATGAAGAATGTGAAGCAGAAAGATTTGCATTTTTTATGCTTAATAAAACCCATGATTGGATCTCCATTACATTTATGCGCTGTTGCCTTTCCTTCTTTCTGTGGTGTTTCGTATGCGCTATACAAATATAAAGTTAGCTGGGGGTTTTTTTTGTTGCTACTCTCTGTTATGTAGTTATGAATATATATGTGTGTGTGTGTGTGTACACAAATTTTTGTATTTTGTTCAAAATGTAAAGTGATCCCAACAACATCTAGAATATAAATTACAAGCTAAAAGCAGCAATGTAAAGATACTAATAATGAAATGACAAAACCAAAATGCATTCCTTTGTCATTGATAATGGTAACTGTACTTCTGAGAACCAGTGAATGATCATAAATTAAGTCATTATGCTTTTCTAAATTCCATCGTAAAAGTTCCCACATAGGCCATAACAAACCGGAACCTCACTTTCTTCCATGCTTTTCCAACTGCGACCAATATAGAGCCAGTGGGCTGTCTGCCATCGACAGACATCTGTCTCATCCTGCTGCCAGTGGATGCTCGGCGCTAATGAGACTTTTAAAACCACTGTCACTCTGTAAGCTGCTGACTATTCTATCTAATCTACTCCATTCTCACTTTCATTTGATTCTCTAGTTGATTTGACAAATAGTGTGAAATCAAATCAGCAGTTAGATGTTTATGATAAGACTACCATAGAGTTGTGTTTTTTTTAGAACCTGAAGTTCTCTAGCCCACAAATCCTTAGATATGAAAGCTACCTCTGATTTAGGACTTTGGTTCCATGACCAGGAGTTTGCTGTACCTTGAATTTTCTTCTGCAGGTGTTATGTTTGAGAAAGACATGAAATATTCAGATTTGTTGTTGCTGAATTAAAGGGACAGTGTTATGTAAAATTGACTTTTTTGAGTGTTGCATCATGTTATGTTATTCCCCTATCAAAAACATACCTGAAGTTTTTCCTTGATTCTTTCATGCATGTTTGAGAAATTCTCTTATCTCCTGTGGCAGTCATTTAACTGCCACAGGATGCCTAGTTGGATTCAACACCATCTTCAAGGTGCAGCTCAAGTTACTGAGCTTCCACCTCACAGAGCAGCCCTTCCCCTCTCACCTCCTTCAGACTAGTCAATAGTAATTAGCAAACAAATGGTGGTAAGACAATGATTGAAAAGTATATCACTATTTTAGCATTTCATATCGTGCAATATCAATAATTGATGAAATATCTAAAATACTGTCCAAGTAGTGTATGAAGTGCACAATTCAGATACTGAGGTCCAGACAAAAGTCAGGGAGCAAAAACAATCTTTAATACATCTGCAGACAGAGAGAAAAAATACACTGCATTAGGCAAAAATCATTCTGCTCTAACAAACTCAGAGTTGCATAGTTGTTTTATTCACCTCTCTCTGCTAACAGAGGCTGAAACTCATTCTTCGAAGGCCAAACAAAAGAAACAAAGAAAAACAGACGGAACAGTTCAACCTTATACGCTCATTCACTGTCATGTCTATGGGATGCGAAAACTAAACACTCTATCTTTATGCAGGGAAGGCCACGGGAAAAACAGCAAGTTCCCAGATAACCCGTCTGGGAAACTTCAACAAACACATCTTGTTCAATTAGTTTGTACACCCTTTGCAGCTGCTTGAAAAAACATCTCGACTATGCTACACTGTATGATGCAAATAAAAGATTTTCTCTTGAAAGAAAAATCTACTTCACAAGTGATATTACCTTTCCTCTTTTATCCACAGTTTTCATTCCATGATTTTATTGTTAAGCAGTCATGAAGCATGAAGGCAAAACCTTAAACTCCTGCTGTGCAAATTACTCACCAAGTTGTTTCTAGGTAACAAAAAAATAAGTTAGTTGCTCAGGGGTCAAGTTAATGGATTATTTTCCATATCTGTCTTATTTTTTTAAACTATGGAAAAAATCTGAAGCCTGTCCATCATTTCAAATTTTTGACCTACATGGTGCAGATGTGCAGATATTTTTTAGGCCTGGAGTATACTCTAAGGAAAACTACGTCAATCAATAAAAAAAATCCCTTTCTGACTTGGACACTGAATTAAATGCGTCTCGCTGACTGGTATCTGACAGTGTGTGGACAGGACACTTTGGAGTGCATTTGCTTCAGTAGTGCATTCAAAACTTTGCCTGAAGTGGCACTTTTAACAAGCCCACAATAGATACAAAATAGAGACAAACTAAAGATAATACTATGGTGTGTTAACAGGTTTCCCTCCAGTGTATTATAAGCCTGGTGGGGCGCCAGGCTTTACTTGTGCCCTCACCTTGCTAAGTGTTGCTTGTTTTTATCAACAAAAAAAATGCTTAAAATATTTTTGTACATCAGTAATCCCGAACTGCAAGCGTCTGTGCCACAAATAAAACGTATGGTCGGGCTTTTAGAGGTGCATGCAGTGGAATGAGAATGATGTGTCTTTTTGAACAAAGGATTGTGTGTAACGTACAGTATGTTTACAGTTCATGCACAGACAATGCTAAAATTTACTTAAACTTTATCAGTTTGTCATCAAATGGTTTGAAGGATGAAAATAATGTTTGTTTGTGTTTGGGTGTTTCAGATCTATCTAAGAACCGCCTGTGTGAGCTTCCAGAGGAGCTGTGTCAGTTCATCTCTCTGGAGACTCTGAGTCTGTACCACAATGGAATGCGTTTATTGTCCCCCAGCCTGGCCAACCTCCAGACCCTTACCTACCTCAACCTCAGGTAACTCAACATCTACACACCACATCAGGAGCCACATGTTCTCGTGAGGTGGTGTAGCATTTGGGTAATTAGATGGCTCATTGTTTAGTATGTGACCGAACCCATGCCAGCAAGACGGGCAGTTCTGGGCAGAAAATCTGTATTTCAGTTAGTTTTTAGTGCTGATATGATACAACATGGTTGTAGTTTTTGCAATATTAACCTGATGTGGTATGAAGCAATCATTTATTTAGAATGACACTGGGCAGTAATGACAAAGGTTCCTAATTACAAATTACCTGCATGAATGGTAGCACAAAAGGAGTGCTGCCGTTCATGCACGGTAGCACTCCTGACACCAGGAAGCTGTTCATTCAAACATGAGTTCATCACAACTAATACAACAAGCGGAGCTATTCGCAAGGCTGGCCAATAACAAAAGATAAGGATCCGAAACAGAAAACTCGTTTTTTAAGCATTTCTGACAGACAAACTAGCAGAAAACCAGCTTGTCAACAAATTATAAATGAAAATTTATCCTGTTCATACTGTCATTTCACCTCAGAGTCTGATTTTAGATGCATCTCAACTGGCACCTTTTTAAAACCCTCTCCTCAAAACCAATGCTGTGCTGATAAATGTACCCCATAAATATTACACATACTTTTTGAATATTGTGAAATCTTACAGTATGAGAATTGCTGGCTGTTCTCAACCAAGAATATCTTCATCCTCCAGAAATGTTGCAAAAAAAAGCTTTATTTAATGACTGTCAATTTATTTAAACTTAAAACTCCCACCAGGATGTCTGCCTTGCTTTAAGGTCTGAATGCTGAGCAATATCTATAACATCTAAATCAACCAGAATTATGCTTTGCATCTGTGTCTGTAAATAGAATTATTTATTCACATCACAAATGTTAGTTTGAATATATATATATATATATATATATATATATATATATATATTATATATATTATTATTTTTTTTTTTTAACTTAATGTGAACATAAATTATATAAGTTGCCATTTTGTCATTCTTTAAAATGTTCTCTATTAACGTCAGCTAAACATCAGTGAAGAGCCTTAAGGGTAAAATAATAGAAGAACTTGCTCAGGACTGCTTCTTGAGAACAAAAAATAAAGTTTAAACTTCTTTTAAGCAAACTTCTAGTTGCTCTTAAAGATGTATAAAAGACAGTTCACATTGATTGGCACACTATGGTGGTGGTCCATTTACCTAAAATAAGGGACAACAGGATATGTTCCAACTACATGGGGTAACATTCCTAAGCCATCCTGGTAAAGTCTGTTCAGGGTTTCTGAAGAGGAGGTTCTGCTAGATAGCTTAGAATCAGATTCAGGAGGATCAGTGTGGTTTTTGTGCTGGTTGTGGAAAACTGCAGCAGCTCTACACCCTCAGCAGGGTCAGGGGAAGCATAGGAGTTTACCTAAGCTTTACATGCTTTTCTTATATGTAATATTGGTTGCAAGTCAGACTTGTTTTCGGGGAGAGTTGGGCTCCACCAAGGATGCCCTTTGTCACTGATTCTGTTCTCAATGTGTGTGGACAGAATTTTCAGGCACAGGCAAGATGTTGAGGGGATCCATTTTGGTGTATTCTTCTTTATGCAATTCTTTCGGTTTCAGCAGACCATAATCTCTAGCTTTCACAGAAGCCTTTCAGCTAAGCTCTGGATTTACCGGTCAATCTATGTTCCTACCTTCATCTATGATCATGAGCTTTGGGTAGTTACCGGCTACAAGCAGCTAAAATGAGTTTCCTCTGCAGGGTGTCTGGGCTCTCCCTTAAAGATAGGGTGAAAAGCTCTGTCATCCGGGAAAGGCTCAGAGTAGAGCCACTGCTCCTTCACATCAAGTTGAGGTGGCTTGGGCATCTAGTTAGGATGCCTCCTGATAACGTGCCTCCCAGCACGTCCAGTTGGGAGAAGACCCAGAGGAAGACCCAGAACATGCTTGATGGACAATGTCTCTCTGCTTGCCTGGGAACGCCTTAGGGTTCATCCGAAGGAGGTGGGAGAGGGAAGTCTTTGCCTCCTTACGTAGACTACTACCTCCATGACCCCGGTTAAGTGGAAGAAAATGGATTGTTGATGGTAAAAATCTCCTTATGTTTTGGATCACTTTGATTAGCAAACATTTATGTATCAAGTAATTATTCTGTGCTTATATGCCACAGTCTATAGAGTGAAGTAGCACAAATAACCTGTATGATCTCATCCCATATTACAACAGAAAATTGTAAACTTCATCAGTTAGTTTAGGCAAAACAGTTATTTAGATGTGGAGGTAAATTAGACTTCAAAGAGACTTAATCAGTATATCAAAAAGCAAATTTTATCTTAAATATTCTGACAAGTTTCCAATTTAAGAGGCTTTTGCATTTTGCTTTCTAGAATAACAGAAAACAATTATTTTCTTAAAAAAATTATCTCAGAATTAAATTTATTCATGGTGCTTGTAAATTGTTTTTTTCTTATTATTTGATACAACGTCAGTAAGTCTTATTCCTCCTCATTATCATTTTACTGTTGCTAGGATACTGGAAAATCCCTCCAGGTGCAGCACGAGTCAGACCAAATGGACTGTATAACAGAAAATATCCTACTTCTAATGGAGCTGTTATTTAGTGTGAGCTCCATGATGAAACTTCTGAAGCAGCTGAGACGTTATCATATATCGCTGTGTGTTTTTATTTAATCCTTTAGCCTCTGAATGTTTGAGTCATTAGACTTTGAAATCTAATCCCTGCTCCAGGTGAGGATATCTCTTCAGTGACATCACTCTTTGTTCATGGGTGTGTTCGTGTGCTTGTGTGTGTGTGCTTCTCTCCACAGTCGGAATCTCCTGTCCTGTTTGCCCCCGTCCATGTTCCAGCTCCCCCTACTGCGAGTGCTCATAATCAGCAACAACAAGCTGTCTTCACTGCCCTCCTCCATCTACTCTCTCACACACCTTCGACAGCTGGTACGATACACACACATTTTGATCTCTTAGAATCTCTGCACCCGACTCCTATTGTTCAAGTAAATGCATGAGTGCAGATTATATGATCTGGTGGGCTGTTATTCTTGACTTCAATGGCTTAATAAAGCCCAATGTGCAGTTGTAACTCTGTAAATTAGAATATCATTAAGTTGATTTATGTTTGTAATTAAATGGAGCAGTCAAACTTGTATAGATTCCTACATAGTGATGTGAAATCCAAGGTTCTGTCTCTCAGAAAACTTAAATTATATAAGAAAAGTGTTTTATGCCAGATATGGCTGTCTATTGAACAGTGTGTTCATGTTCTGTAAAGCATCTACACTCAGTGCTGCAATGGGTTTCCTTCTGCTTGAAAAACTGCATTAGTGCAGTACAATATGACTGAGGTCAGCTTCTGGCAAGTCTGGAAGCTTACCACGGCTCACCGTGTTTTTGTGTTAAGAGATGTTAAAATTTCTGGTCAACGTTTAACCACAATTTGAAAATATGACTAAGTAATTATTTGTTATTAGAAGACATTATGAGCAATACTTAAATCCCAACTGATAGTCTTAATATCGGTAAACATGCAAAAAATATGTTTAAAATGTACATTTTTTTGTACTTCAGCTAAACCCTAACTAGGAAAGCTGCCAGTGGATCTTATGGATCCATGATTAGTTGAACATGTTGGCCTAAATTAGTTATGCCTAAATTTTTTGATTAACTAAACAATTGCTGTATATGATACATAACTTCAGAAATGTTGTCCTTTGTTTTTTCACCCATGGAGACTGCCATTTCTTCATGATTACTGAGTTGATGACATGGTTTTGTCCATTCTGTACTACAATCTACAGAGTAGGGCTGTTGTAAATTAATATTTTAGTAATCGAGTCTTCTGTCAATTATTTTGAGTAATCTGATAAAAAAAAGATATAAAGAAACATTGTTAAATCTAATCAATGTCAGATTGGTTAGATCTAACATTGTTACTATCGGATATCTACATCAGTCCAATTTAATTAACAATAACTTTTCTGTAGTTTAGAAAATTAGCCTGTAACAACAATAGCTCATTTTCTAAGTTGACCTAAAGAAAAATTATACAAAAATCTGAAATTATTTTCACAAATACACCTATAAAACATTTCTATGCTTTTTGTTTTTGTATTCATCTTCAGTCAATTTAATAGATGAACTCTCACCTTGCCCAAACATTCATAGTTTTTGTCCTCATGTTAGTGATGGGATTTGACACCTTCGTTTGTCACACACAGATCTACCAGGTATGTACCGTCACAATGACGGTAAATTTCATGCTGTTAAGACCAGCATGAAATTAAATAAATTTTCCTCTTTGTCCGCCCGCAGCGTTCAGTTATCAGCTCACTTGTATAAATACAGCTGCAGCACTCTTCCCCGCCGTTTGCTCTGAACCGGCCACCCGGAAGCAGCTCTGGGAGGAAAAAAGCTGCCGTAGTCCTGGCATCGCGCCAGTCATTTTAAGGACACTTATTGCACCCCCCTTTCCTTCATCTCCCCCCACCCCCCACCCACCCACACACACACACACACACACATAAAAGAAGAAGAGTGCAGTGGGAAAGAGTCAAACATAACTTCTGGAAGACTAGCTCCTTCCATTTTGGAGACTATTTTGAGTAAAAGCTGGTGTATGTGATCTGTGCCAAGATGCAGATATTTAGAGGTGCACAATCTGGCACGCTGATAGCATGCCAGTGTACAGACAGTGCCTCAACTATAAACTTGAGGCACTTTTAACCCTGGGATAACCTTTTATCCTAGGGTTTTTCCCAGTGGGAGAAACCCTGGGATAAAATTATTAAATATTATGATGATTATGATATCATTTGCAATATTTGGCTATTTTCTTCTTCTGTATTGCATTCAGGATGTCAGCTGTAATGAGCTGCAGAGTTTACCAGCAGAACTTGGTCAACTGGAGACTCTGAGGGACCTGAACTTGAGGAGGAACCAGCTCACCACTTTGCCTGAAGGTAAACACACATGAACACACACTTATTCCAAATAATGGACATGTTGAGCTTTGCTTGAATCTACCAATGGCAGTAGAAGGTGATAAAGGTCTGCATCTGATCCACCTGCATCCTGTTTATAGTCTTGAGTTCCTCTCTTAGAGGGAAGACAGAAAGGGCCCTGTTTCTTACACAGGGCCCTTTCTTCATAACTTGAATTGCAAGACAGTGCCTTTTTTTCATTTTAAGTGCTTACAAATGAAAGAGTTATCAATCTAGTTCAAACTTAATGGTGTTTTGATGGATCATGTGCAATTAAAACCTTGCAGAGATGAAAAGGGAATAGGTTTTTACAGTGAATTGTAACAACTTACATAATGTGGCCACTTACAGATCTATTTAGTAACTGAACTGATTCAAGTGGCACTACTATTTCACTAACTGAGTTTTCTCAGGTTTTAGATATAGTGCCAAGCCGGAACCCGATAGTAGCCTTACATTTCAATTAATGAAGGCAATAGATCCTGAAACCACATTGCCTGCTGTCTGACTTTTTTCTTCTTTGAATCTCATCCAGAAATGTCTGAACTTCCACTTGTTCGACTCGATGTGTCCTGCAACCGAATTTCCCACGTTCCTCTGTGTTTCCGTCACCTCCGACATCTGCAGACAATCTCACTGGACAGCAATCCTTTGCAAATGCCACCGGCACAAATCTGCTCCAAAGGCAAATATCACATCTTCAAGTACCTGAACATGGAGGCCTGTAAGAGTCATGAGGAGGAGCTGGAGAAACACCTCAACATGAGGCCGACTGGATTTAAAAGCAGGTGAGGACAACTGAACAGAGAGTTTATGTATATTATTATACATAAACTATAACTATGTAGGGCTAGAAGTACAGTGCATTGATTAAGTAGTCACACCTCTAGGAGCTTTCCACATTATGTCCCAATCACATCTACAAGCAGACATTTTTGTAAATTTCGGTTTCCAATATAGCTCAGGCTCTGAAAACAAAAAAAGTATTTTTAGAAAGACTTTTAGTTCAAAGGGAATTTGCTTTGAACTAAACCATTCCATAGCAAGTCACTACCCCAGTCTTGGTTTTCTGCATCTTCTCACTGGATTTTCTCCAAGATGCACCCAGATCTATAGCTCCAACTGTCTTCCCATCAAATCTTTCCTTGCAGAAGAAAAACATTCCCACTACATAATACTGCCATGACCAAGTTTCACAATGTGGATGATATCTTCATATTGACAATGAGGTTACAGTCATGGGTTTAATTCCTGACCCCGGGTCATTGTCTGCATGCTTTCTTCTTCTTCTTCTTCTTGTTCTTCTTCTATCTATCTTTCTGCCAAACTGAAGAAAGACAACTAGTTGCAGAAAATCTTTTAAAAAGGATGTTGAAAGATGAGGGTATGAGATAAAAAAAGTAATAGAACTATGTAGGGCTGGACAATAAATCAACAATGGTATATATCTCGATAGACTCATTATCAATATCAATAGATAACATATATGATAGAATATTCAGAATCAGAATTTATTTTGTCGTCATTGTACAAGAAAGAAAGTACAACAAAAAAATAACAACTCTTGAAAGCGAGTCAAATAAATAAAATAATAAGTATATCTCAATAAATATAAAAAAATATAGTAGAAATACACAACTGGGAAAAATAAATGAATAAATAAATAAACAAATAATCAAGGTTTAGATGAACTAGCTGTGTAAAGGCTAACAACAGCTCTTGGGTAGAAACTGTTTTTTCAGTCCATCTGTTTTTGACTTTATTACCCTGAAATGCCTCCCTGACGTCAGGAGTTTGAAGAGATGGTGGCCAGGTTGTGATGCTGCGGGCTCTCCAGAGACATCAAATCCTGTAGATCTCCTCCAGAGATGGAATCGGGTAGTCAATCAGTCTCTGGGCAGTTTATGATATCTGGAGCTCCTTCCTCTCTGCCACAGTGCAGCTAGAGAACTACAGCGAGATGCCATTGGTCAAAATTAACTCCACAGAGCAGCGATAGAAGGATACCGAGAGCTCAGTTCTCCAAGTCAGGTCTTCACTGACAAAACTGCCCATGAAAATGAAATTTGGCACCATCTCCACCCTTTCGCCATTTATGACAGTGGGCTGAAGGTCTGGTTCACACCTCCTAAAGTCAACAATCAGATCCTTCAACTTGATGGTGCTCAAACAGAGGTTGTTGATGCGCCAGTCATTCCACCTCCACTCTGTATGCAGTCTCATCTTCTCCAGAGATGAGACCCACCACGATGGTAATGATGGTATTGTTCAGGTGGGTGAGGCTATAGTCATGGATGTAGAGGGTTTAGAGTAGAGGACCTAGCGCACATCCTCGTAGAGAGCCTATGCTGGTGCAGGGGGGTTAATACTTTCACATTGTGGCAGCAGTTTGTCAGCAAGTTCATGATCCAGCAGCAGATGTTGTGGGGTAGATCCAGATCCCCCAGTTTTCTCACCAGTCTGCTCCGAATGATGGTGTTAAATGCCGAGCTGAAGTCAGGGAAGAGCACCTTTGCATAACTCATTTGCTGTTCCATGTGTGTCAATGTGGTGTGCAGAGCAGTAGCGATAGCATTCTTTCTACACCTGTTGGTTATATTTGCAAATTGGTGGGGATTGAATGTGGTTTTGCAAAGCACTTCACGATGATGGGGGTTATTGTCACTGGACAGTAGTCATTGAGACTGTTAATCTTGTTTTTTGGCGAAGGGATGATGGTGACGGACTTTAAGCAAGGTGGGATGGAGCACTGGGTGAGGGACTCATAGATGCTGGTAAAAACCCCAGCAGCTGTCTGCACAGTGCCTCAACACTCTCCCTGTCACACTGTCAGGTCCAGCAGCTTTCTGGAGGTTCACTGCCTTCATAGTCCTCCACACTTCCTGTACAGTGATGGTCTGGCAGTGCAGGGATGCTGGCTGCAGTAGGGGCTCTGCTGGTGAATCAACCTCAAAATGGGTGAAGAAATGATTGAGCTCATCTGCCAGTGAAGCATCCCCAGAGATTTTGGCAGTATTGCTGGATCTGAAGTTGGTGATGGAGTTATAATTCAAAAATCAAACTGTCCAGTCTCCTCTCCGTCTTTTCATCCTGATGCAGCTCTAAGACTTGAAAGCAGTGAAGATGGACTGAACCCAAAAACTCTTCTCTCCAGTTAATTTTGGCAACACATGCTAAAGCTGCAGTTGCTGCACACATGTTTTTAGTGGATATGGAGCTTGATATAACTGCTCTACCTTTGCAAGAAGCCAGCTGCCTCCTGTGCGTCTAGCCTTTCGTTAAGATAGGCTAACCTCAAGAATTTCTCAGCCTAATAAACAGATCAATTGCTTTCCGTGCTTCCTTCCAACAAAGTGGTAAACAGTTGGTGAAGTGACTTATAAAACATAGATATCAGCAGTGAATTAAAAATCTGGCAAGAAATGTTGTCGGGTTTATCATCATGAGCCAAAGAAATAAGATATGGAATGTTTGTAATGTAATGTATGTCAAATAGAATGATTGTGAGTTGATAAGATGGTGACATGGAATGACAGATATTGAAAAAAGTTAAAAAAGAATCAACAGAAGTAGAGCTGAGCCAATATTTAGTTAGATGAAACCCTTCTAGCTGTTTCCTGAACATTTCATGGAGCAGAAAATAGAAGTAATAATGGAGCAAAGGAGAAGGAACTCGTGACTTTGATATGGAGAATGTGATACAGTATTCCACTTCTTGACACACCTTAGTCTTTTTATGTTGTATGCTTTTAATTGACCTTATCTACATTTTCTCTTGCAGTCTGTCAGACCAGGAGCTATTCACTTGTCAGTTTGGCGGCATGGACTCTGGTTTCAACAGCGTGGACAGCGGCAGCAAACGATGGTCTGGCAATGAGGTACAACTATTATTTATATGTCATGTCTGAACTACTGTAAGCTACTGTATATCATAAACTCACACAAAGTTTGACAGTATCAATATAAAGATGTTTTAATTAGATACAGTCATACAAAGTGAAAGATAAAAAAAGAACAATTATAAGATGTAAATATATGATATCCAAAATTCTGTTATTCAGAAAGTAGAACGACATCATGCGACCATGATGTCATGTCGCATGTAAAGGAACAGTATTATGTAAAATTGACTTCTTTGACTTTGACTTTTTTGTTATAACGTTATTCCGTCATCAAAACCATACCTGGTGTGTTGCCTTGACTCTTTTATGCATGTTTGAGAAATCTCTTAATCTCCATGGCAACCATTCAGCTGTACCAAACAACTGGGTGGACCATAACTCCACTTTGAGATGCAGCTCCTTCTCTAAGCTGCAGTTTTCAAGCTTCTAAGCTTCCATCTCACAGAACACCTGTCCCTGAAACTCTCACACTCAGTGCCTTCAGACTAGCCTACAGCAATTAGCAAACACCTAGTGGAACTGTGCATCTGGTGAGCTCATTGTAGGAGCTACTTCTCAGTGTGACCCTGGTAAAAATGTTGTAAAAGGGTTAACAGAGGAGACATGTTGTGATGAGTTCCTGGTGGCGGAGTTTCAGAAAGAACTGGGGTCGTTAAAGAGACAGAGGCCCAATTTCTAGGCATTAAAATAATTGCCTTGAAATTGGCAATTTTCAAGGCAAATGTGACTTCCAAGAAAGTCAAATTTCTTGGAAGTCATATTTGATATATGTATGATTTTTATAAAAACTAAATGTAACATAGCTATTTGACTTTGCTATAAAATGGCACTAAAGTAATATGTTACATTAACCTTAAGGGCTGTTTTACCAGCTTCTCACAAACGTCTGGTTTTGTGCTGAAGTAATTTTAAACTATCCAAGAACAAGATCATGTTTTGATTCATGATGTTCTACCATGACAACTGATGTGCCTCTGTTTCTCATGCTCTCAGTCTGCAGATGACTTTTCCGAGCGTTCTCTTCAGATGGCGGAGGTCAACCACACCTTGCAGAGACACCTTGAGGAGCAGTATGAAGAAGACGATGAGTCCCTGGAGGCCAACAATGGTGGGAAATTCTGGAACCTAAAATGCTTGTGAAGCTGACTAAAGATGTGCTTTAGAAATATATAAAATTTATTAGCTCTTGTTCATATATATTTACATTGTGAAAAAATAGCTGTGGGAAGACCAATCATTTCTCAAAACAAAATGTCTCGACATTTAGTAAAAGCACAAATGAATATGGACAAAGGTAGACAATTTTGTCTACCTTTGTGTTTATCACATTTTCAGCTGGTTATGAAACCCCCCATCACTGAAATGAAATGGAAAACAAGTTCAATAAGACAGCAACGTTTTAGACTTTGTTTTTCTTCCTCCCAGTGAATGGAGTGGCTGAGCAGATCAGCTTCATCAGCATCAGCAGCAGTGTGACAGAGGAGATCCGGATAGATCCACCCACACCTTCCCTTGTTACCTTTCCTTTGGTACTGTCTTACACATACTGATCAGTTACTGCTGTTTGGCATGTTGGGTCAGGTGAAGAATGGAAAAAAAAATTCTGGAAAAATATTCCTTCCTTTGTCTCCTAACCCACTGTCTAAATTTGTTGTTCTTTATTGTTATCCTCCATTAAATCCTTTTTTGGCTCCACCTCTTTTTATGTCTCTACTTTTTCCCTCTAATTCTTCCTTCCTATTTCTCTACCTGCTTTTATATTCTGTGTCTCCTCTGCCCATCCCAAACTTTTCTATCATCATGTTTGATTAGCGGAGAGTCTCTTGTTTTTTAGGAGCAGGATTCATCTTCTCCATCCCAAAACCAGGATACAACCTGCAGGTGAGTTTTTCAAAAACATTTCCAAATCTCTCCTCGTCCTTAGCAATGTTTTATATTTTAGTGTTCAGCAGCCAGTAAGTATCCAACATCATCCAACTTTCCCAAATATTAAAGATTTCATTTTACTGGCAGCAAACTGGATGTTCATGATGAAGTCTACTGGTGCATCAAGAAGACAAGTTCCTTCCCCCATTCACCGTTTTTCTTAGGCTCACTCACAGTGGCTTTTTAGATTGTGGGGAAGAATCAGTTGATGATATGTCCTCTCTGGGCTTTCTTAGCTTCATGTAGGTTAATTCTGTGCAATTCTTTATTTGCCTTTCTGGGATTTCTGGAACTGTAAGATTTAAACAGAAGTTAATATTTCATACTGAGGCCTAAAGAAGTCCTACATTGTAATCCTGTGTTTTAAATGTTAAATTGTCACTTTGCTGTCTGGGTCAAAGGTTCCAGAATTAGCTTTTAATAAGACAATGTCTTCTACTCGGCAGTGTATAATATTTACCATTCCCACATTTCAACTTTGGCTGCTAACAGAACCTAGTGTCAGCATATTGACTTACCCTGGACGGACTGCAGAAGGTGAAGCATACAGAAATACAGTGGCCTGCAGATTCAATTCTGCAGTGAGCAGAATTGTGTAGTCTGTATTTAGTTTGGTGTTTTGGACCCTTGACATGAAAAGATCTTAATATTTCTGTCCAGGCTTCCTGCTGTGAGGGTTTACTTGTCATTTTTAGGAGGCTGTATGAAGGAGCAGACAGTTACTGTAAAGTTGGACTTTTCAACATATGGAGTTGACATTTTGAACTATCTGTAATTGTAAGCAGCAGCCTCTATATACATCCCCAAAGGAAAAGTAGGCCTTTACAAAAACTAGACATTTCCAGAGATGGCATATCCCAGAACAGGGAGGTTGATGATTCATTTGCTGTGATACATTCAGCTTTCCTGTAATCTGCTGGAAGTGTTATTTTATCTCACTTTCTTGTAACCAGAGTAAACTGCAGACATATCAGGACATGTAGAACACAGAATATATGATCACTGCTCAGTCAGCTGATCAAACTGAAAACTGGTTGATTTCTCTGTTAGTTTTTATTAATGTTCAATGTCTTCTTCAGAAATAAACAAAAATGAAGTGGAGTCAGATTTTAGCAATTGTAGGATTTCTCTTTTGCAAAAAACCAAAAACTACCATATTTCTCCTGCTAACGCTAGACTTGTTTATTTTGGTTGTATTTACCCATAATGCTCTGTGCTATAGTCCTCTTCCTGCTTTTAAACTGGTCTCGAGGCTACATTTGAACCACCACACCTGACTGCTTCAACAATTAACCCTGAAGTAATTATAAATCTAGTCCACTGAGATAACTGTGGAGTCTTTAGGATGCTAAAGCGTTTGCTCATTGGTTTTGTTGCCGGGAGAGGCGCAGGTTTCCGTTGGCTAACAGAGACATAAAGTGGCTGTAGTTCTATTGTGTTTTGATATCCTGATTTGCCATCTGTCAGAGGTATAAAATCTCTTCCTTCAGTTGTATTGATGCTCAGTCTCCCCACAAACCTGCTGGCACCTCATGAATATGTGACACACAACCAGGCTTTTAGTGTTCTAAAAATTTGTTATGAACTGGCCACAGAGCTTCCAACAGTCGGACTCTGTCACCAGGGAGGACAAGCCATGCATCCTGCAGCGTGAACTAACGGATGTTCCACATTTTGGCCTCCAACACTTCCTCTGGGATTTCTAAAAATACGATACTGGAGTCTGAAACAGAGGATCTAAGCATTTCTGAGCTATCTAACTGTGAAACAAGACTAGAGTTTTTGAAGGAAAAACAGCAAGACTTGCTGGTTTCTGATATCATCACAACTAATAACACTTTATTTGATGGGGTGTGCATAAAACTGACATGACACTGTTGTAAACATGACATAACACCTGCCATGAAGATGGAGTTTTCATTCATGTTTAGAACTGTTGTCATGAAGTGTTGTTCAGTAAATAATGACACTTTTAATGCAAGTTTTAATGCAACTTTGCATTAAGTGTCAGATTAAAGCATATCCATCTGTTACAAAGGCATAGTCAAAGTATAAACAAAAATTTAACTGGGAATTGGCTAAAAAAAAAGTTAAAATCCAATTTTTTTGACATGTTCCCTCCAGTCTGAGTTGTTAAAAACCAGAATGGTGGGGTGCTGTGAGGTTAAGGGGTTAAACACAACTCACATAATATGGAGGTCTTAGTCCTCAATGCAGATGTTGCAGGTTCAATTCCTGGCCTGATGATCGCATGTCTTCCACTCATTACCCACTTTCCTGTCAATTCACTATCAAATAAAGACCACTATAGCCAATAAAACCTTGAAAAAAACATAACATAATTTTCCTTCCACAATTTAATTATACACCTCTACATCAATGAACTGTGAAAAGAGCTACAATTAAATGGACTGATTCATTTTAAAAGCAGGTGGAAATGATAGCTGATGTTCGATAGTTCTAAAAATTCAACTTCAAACGTTTTAATTAAAAAGGAAAATGTGAGTGCTCTGACTGCCATTATTCTGTTAGTTAACCTGTGTTAAACCAACGCCTTGTCTCTCAGGATGGAAGGGAACTGCTCCTTTTCGTCCACTGTGCCCCCCTCCAGTCCCACCCTGGAGGAGAGGAGAAGGCCTGGAACCCTATTCATTTGGCAGGAGCGGGAGCGGCTCCAGCAGCAGAGGGAGAAGGCCAGGTAATTTCCCTGTGCTTCATTAATAATGGAGAAACCTGGACTCAGCAATTTTTGAGGGGTTTCTTTTGTCAACATGAATTTTGTATTGAGGAAAAGTTCTAACAAAAGAAGAAATGAGGTCAATGAATGTGTGAACATGTCCCGTCCGTATCGGTGCGTTTCCTTCAGTCAGTAGTGCAGTTGTAGCTGCACTCTCTTTGTCTCTCCCGCTCATATTCTTCTGAGCACACTCAATTCCAACCTCTTTATTTTGCAGTTTCCTGAAGTCATCTGCTAAACCCGGAAGTCATGTGGCCTCTACACCACAGACAGGAAGTAGCTCATGGTGGGTTGTTCTGAGCAGAGCAGCAGCAGTGACCCACATCTTTTAGTTCTTCCACTTGTACTCCACTCCCCTCCAGTTATGTAGTTCCTGAGCTCTTGTCAAAATAAGACAGTAGAAAGCATGAGGGTGTGGGAAAAACATTTCCACTGTGAATTAATCACGGTATATGTCTACCTCTAGTGGTGGCTCACCAGAAAATGGAAGTGCCCTCTCTGGCCTGCGTCAGCGATGTGCAGTGAGTCCCATCTCTTTAGTAAAAAGAGTAGAAGTTTGCTCTGCTGCTACTGAAGCGTTTGTTTGTTTGTTTGTTTCAGAGTGCTGACCAGATGAGCACCGGATCTCCATCAGTTCTTCTGCATCACTCCAGCAGCAGAACAGGTATAGCACACTCACCTGAACCACCTCAACATGAACCTGAGCAGTGCTCACAATGCAAATATTTCAGCTGGAGTAATCAGAGTGTTTTATAACCTCAGTGGGAACAGGACCAATACAGTAGAAGTGTTACCTTTAGCTCTACCCACTGATGGGAAAAATTCACGTTGCCACATATTTACCTCAGCATTCTAAGGACCTTGTAGCTCTATATAGGAATTTTCAACAATGTTTTCTTCATCTTCATGTAAAACAGGAAATAGTGTCAGATGTTTTTGAAACCATAAGGATATCATTATATTATCAGCCATTAATGACTGGGTAGCAGAAATTGGACTTGGTGAAGCTACAACATGTTTATTTTTTGTACAGTTTTAGCTTAATTACTGTTCTGAGTTTTGTTCTGTCAGTAAATGGTCGTTTATACTCCAGTTAATGATTAATCGTTTGCTAAACTAGTTGATGGTTATTTCAGTTTAATTAATCATGATTAATCCAGTTAATCATTTCATCCCTAACCTAGTTCTAGTTTCTTCATCACTTTATATTGAGGATTTTAATATTAATATAAATTCCAGGGATTTTAAAAGTAATAAGACCAGGGGATTTTGTGCCATTTGCACCCTGGCCTTTTATTAACTTAGAGGTAGTAAAACACTTCTAATCTCTTAGTTTACATAAATTGTATGTTAAAGCTGGGTCATCAACAAATCTGCTCTTATTAAAGCTGCAGTATAGAACTTTTATAAAAAAAATGTTTTTTTTTTTTTACATGTTAAAACTGTTGACATTTTGTTACAATATATATTGTGAGACAGATTATCTGTGAAAATCGCCATCTCCTGCTGAAGCTGGAAATTCATCACTCCCAACCAAACACTACCAATCAGAGCCAGGAGGAGGCTCTGAGTCCTGGCTGTCAAACAGGACCACCATTAGGACATGATGTTGATTTTTTTTTTTTTTTTTTCCGACATAATGCGACTTGTATCTGATATTTTCATGACAGTCTGAACAACATAAGTCGGATTCTTGAATGCAACCCAGGCTACTTGAGGATTTGATGCTTATCCGATTCATATGTGACCTAGCGTCCAGGCCGCAGTCATCCGACCTGAATGTCACTGATACTCAACAAATGTCATTATTCTGGGTCCCAATATGTGCAAGCGGGAAGAAAAACAACAACCATGAAGGACTAATGAGGATTAAGTTGTTAATATGCTGGCTCTGGTTGGACAACAACTTCAAAAGTGTAAACTATGCTCCACTGTGAGCATCCATGTTTACTTTCGCAAACACTGAGCACTACTTTTTACAGCGGTTGGCAAAACGCTGATGTTTTTGCGTTCTCTACTGCACATGCAGAACACTTTCAGGTCATTTGCCCTTTTACACTGGCAACACATACAGGTTGCATATATTTGGAAGTGTGAACGACCATGGCAAAAAGTCTGATTTGAATTGGGTCACTTACTATTGAAGGAAAACAGTTTATGCACTCTCATCGGTGGCTATGCTTATTTAAAAATATTTCTCTACTTAAGTTGTCAGAGAATAAAATTGACCTAATATCAATCTTTAGATAACACATCATACAGTGCAGAGAAATAATTTTGTGATTCTGATTATAAGCAATTTTTATTTTCTTTCCCAACATTGTACTAACATATGCGTAGTTGTGCACAACATCAATTGGCATTAACTAAACAATGAGGGACTCCCACAATCAGAACAACTGGAGATTGATGATCTTAAGCCATACATCTTCCTGATTTTTATATATAAACCCATACCTACCTTAATTTTATTAATGTTTAACTCTTTTGCTGTACTAAAAGTTATTGACACACCAAATATATTTCTCATATTAATCTTTAAAATGACCTCTGCATCATTTCCTTTTAAAATATTCAAAATAGACGAACAATAAAATAAAACTAAACAACCCCATCAGAGACGATCAGAGTTCAGCAGTGCTGCAGGCAGTTCCCAAAGCATCAGTCAGTAAAACAGAGTGAAGAACACCAGACACACAGGATGTCTTTAAATGGCATAAGAGCTATTACTTCAGTCTGATGGCTTCCTCATGCAATCTGAGGGGTTAGCATTTCTAGAGCTGCTAGTAGAGAGCAGTAGCTGTCCAACACATTTGGAACAATGACCTATGTGTTTGAATCAGATGAACTGTCCTCTCCGAAGACCTCCTCTCCTCCTGGCCAGGCTCAGAAACCCAACAGTTTCCTGTTTCGCACGTCTTCTCGGAGCAACGTCAAACCTACAGGTAAACACACACACACACACACAGCCTCCTCAGCTCTGCTCCTTCTATAGCCCCATTAAACTCCTTTGGCTTTGCTTCTGGTTAGGGACCATACTTACTCTGGGAGAGTCTGGCAGGAGTGAATCTCGTACCACTCTGCGTTCACCAAAGGAGGAAAGAAAAGACCTCACACAACTACGCAAGGTAAGCCCTGCCAGCACCACTTCCACTCCTTTGTCATTTCTTCTTCTCAATATGGTGGATTACTGAAGATGTCTATTACTATCTATATATATGCTTACATATATATATATATATATATATATATATATATATATATATATATATATATATATATATATATATATATATATATGTATACATATGTATATATGTATGGATGTTTGTAACTTGGCGTGGGTCGCCGTTCACACAAACTGAACGATCTGGAAGATAATGATATTGGTGATGGCTGGTGACAAGCTTTACCCAGAATACACTTGGAGACAATATGGACGATCCACTTGTAATTTTGTGTGTCATAAAGTTAAATGTAAGAGTGAAAATATAGGCAGTCATGTAAGCACAACATTTTATTCAATATTTTACACCCACTATGTAACTAAAATCAGTCGGTCTTGTAAAGTTTTTAGCAACCATGAGTCCACAATGACTGGAGCAGCCTACCATCTAATTTAATGGGTACCGTTCTATATAATCCGACACACACCATACTCAACAGGACAGGGCACACCGTCTCCAATTGTCATCAGACGTGATAAAGGCTTTCCACCCTGAAGTCATATTCTGCTCCCATCTGGGCTCTCTCTATGCGTTGACTGGGGGCTTGCCACCCCGCAGCACTCCCTGGAACCACACATGTGCAGATGTGCCGTGCGGGTGTGTCAGTCAGCCTCTCTCACCCCAGAGCAGGAGGAGTTCAGAGATTTCCTTGGTTTCTTGTGTCCATATTGACTGATGGCTTCTCTCTGATTTATCGGTGCATTTGTTAGCTGACCTCCTCTTAGAAATCCTTGTTGCACATAAACATGGAGCCTAACTGTGTCCTGGCCCTCAGACCTTAGAGTCTCGACTGAAGACCAGTCTGCCAGAAGACCTAGGTGAGGCTCTATCCAACGGAACCGTCCTCTGCCAGCTGGTCAATCAGATCCGGCCTCGCTCCGTGTCAATCATCCACATCCCCTCCCCTGCAGTGGTGAGTGCTGATCAGCCCATTCCTCTGCCTTCTTCCTCTTAAACTCCACTGGAAGGGCTTAGAAAGGTGACATCAAATGTTGTGTTTCCTCTCCAGCCCAAACTGAGTTCAGCTAAATCGCGACTGAACGTTGAAAACTTCATCACTGCTTGCCGCAAGCTGGGAGTCCCTGAGGTAAGGAGCTGTTCTGTTTTGGGATCAGTGTTTACCTTCCTGAATCAATCAAAGGAGAGGAGAGGTTCATGTGCTGACAGCATCTGTCGCGTGTCTGTGTCTGAGTTTGTGTGTATCCTCAGGTGTGGACTGACTTTATGTTCTCATCAGTCCTCACCTGACTGCTGCTTCATTACTGTTTCCTGATGTTCTAACCATGTTTCTCCCTCTGTGTGTGTGTGCGTGTGTGTGTGTGTGTGTGTGTGCGTGTGCGTGTGTGTGCGTGTGTGTGTGTGTGTGTCCAGGCTGAAATGTGTGTGTGCTCTGATGTGCTTCTGTGTAAGCTGCCCAGTGTTCTGCGCTGTGTGACGGGCTTGCTGGCTGTGGAGGAGGAGCGCCCCACCTACCACTGGGCCCCTGCATCTTCAACTTCTTCCTCCTCTTCCTCGCTGCTGTCGCCAGATTTCCTATTGTTTTACTGCTGTGTCATGGCGCTCCTCTACGCCGCCTACTGCTGTCTGCTCACCTAGTGCAGCACCTCAGAACCCTGTAGCTGTCTCTGGAGCCATGTGAGCACTGTGTGTGTCAAATACACACCATGACTGTAGAGCAGAGGTCCTCAACTGCTCTGGCTGATCCGGCTGGAGCCATGAAGAACACTGACTGGCAGGATGGATGGGGAGACAGAACCAGATGGAGCTGTGGTTCTGGAAAGCACGGCATGCTGAGAAAAGCTGCAAGGTGTGTCTGAAACAGAGCTTGTTTGTAGCAGAAAGAGAGGCTGGAACAGAGAAACCAGGAAATCCTGAGTGTTGTTTAGTAGATCTATCTGAACTGATATAATCTGAGTAGGTAGATGTACATGTGCTCTGTGTTCAGGGTGGTTCTTTAACCGCTTCAGCTCCAGTTGGACGCTTGATTAGAGGCAGTTCACTCTCTGATAGGTTTATTTTCCAGACTAAAGGCTGTATGAATGCTAAACATGCTGCAAAACCAGCAGGTTCAATATTACATTTTTCCTCTAACAGAGAGACAGAATGATGCGGGTCAGTTTGTTGGAGCTCTGGTGGAAATTTGTAAAAGCATCAGGATAAATGGATCTTTTATTGCAGTAGTATAAAATGACATTCTGGAGAAATCCAACTTTTATTTTGAAGACATTTATCCATTTAGTTGTTACCGTAACAGCAACAAACCAATCTTTAGTTTCACTGGTGTTAACATTTCCTGCCAGTCTTCTCCAGTAACCTTTAACAGAGTATAGTTCTACAGACAGAGGGATGATTTCAGCTCTCTGATCATTTCTCTCTCTGCTTCAGAGACTGAATTAATGCACTCAATATAGGGTTGATTTTTCTACATTTGTATGTGTGAGCTTATGCTGCTGCAATAAAAGATGTATCAATTTGTAAGCGTGTGACACATCACGCCCAATTCATTTGTTGAGTTCTTCTAGATTATTCTGATTCTACCAGCAGTTTTAGGCTAAAGAAGTCCCAGTTTTCCATTTGATTTGTTTTCATTTTCTCATGCAGAGAAAAAGCAGACATTGTATTTATGACTTACAGGTACATTTTCTTGTTGATAGATTTAAAAGTTTTTGAAAATGGTAATGTTGCTAAAGGGTCCAGCCTTTTTATGAAACAAATATGCAATATTAGAGTATTTATGTTATTCTCGTAGATCATAATTAATTGGCATTCTGCATCATAATATATGTGCATGAAGGTCATGATGTTTAGAGATGTTTATCCAGTAGAGGTCTTAGTCAGATTAATATGTAGAGCTACAGCTCTACAACAATAACATCTACTGTGATTTTCATCTCACAGTTCCAAACCATATTATGCTGATTAATGCAGCTTCAAGTTGCAAAAAAACTACAATTTGAGCCATGCATCTCCAGGTGTTTCAGGTTTTCACTTGCCTTGTCTCACCTTTGTGATCTGGTCACTCTGTGGTTGTGGAAGTCAGCTGAACTCTTGTACCTCCAGAGGAGCTTGAGCATTTCTTCCTCAGTTTCTTGAACTGTGAATGTGATTTTTAGCCCTAAGAAAAATGCAAGTTCAATGTTGGATGTGAAGTGTTGGTGTGCACACTGAATGTGCTCAACACTGAGATTAGTTTTATGCATGCTGTTTAACATGGGAGCAGCAGAGGGCTCTGTTGCTCCTTCAGCTCTCCCTAGGCGGTACAGAGCCTTCCAGGAAGTCGAGTGTGTGTGAAGCCGTTGTTGTTGGCACGGGTCTTTTTGACCTGCGGACTTGTATAAATGTAAACGGCTTATTAAATTATTGTGTTTATTTATATTTATTATGTTCTACTTTGGTTTGTCTGGAAGCAGCAGAAGTTTTCTGAGGAAATTAGTTTAGAAATTCAAAATTGCAACAGATTAATATTTAAATATTATCAGTTAAGCTAACAATGGAGCTTTGGTTTTCTCTTGGCTCCACATCTACCAAACTGCTAGACAGCTTCTGTAGCTTCCAGCACACAGTCATCTATATGGTGTCTTAGCTCATATAGAAGGTCAGGGCCTGCAGATAAACTCACATTAGAACTCATTTACATGTGGAGCTTAAAGGCAACATTTACTGCAGGATTGTAGGAGATTTGGTCAGAACTGCAACAAATTTAATGTCTGAACAGAAAAGTAAAAATAATATGAATATTAATTCATTCTTAAAATACATTCTCTGATCATTAGCTACAGTTTGTATTGATTACCAGTTTACTGTGGAGAGATTGTGAAAAGTCAGTATCTCTCACCTGCTGTAGATGAATGGTGAAAGGTAGTCTAGGTTTAGATCGCTGCTCCATGCTTCAATCACCTCCACTGGGGTTAGTGATATGTTCTCTTCTGCAGTTAAGATGCTCCTCATAACAACAACTTCTCTTTATAGTTGAGAAAATAAAGTCATAAGCAAATGATGAAAAAACAAATTAACCAAAAAAACTGTGGGGCAGTCTGAGGTTCTTCCACAGCCTCACCACCAAATGTTGTTGCAGAGCATTAACCTGAAAGTGAGAAGATGTTTTTTTTTTGCCATTTACTGGTAGTTTCAACTTAAGTTGCTCACATATAGTTGTTTTGTTAAATTTTAGGCAAGATTGGGGGTGATCGGTGATAAATAATGACAACACGCTGTTCTGCTAAAATAAATGTGTCCTTTTATTCTGCCACAGATTACAGCAAACTCATTCACACAACAAACAATACATAATGCTTAAATTCTTTTAATCCGCTCTTACCGTGACAGTGAACTGGAGAGCCGACAGTCCGGGCAGAGGTATAGCATCACGTAATTGGGCGTCCGTACGTAACCCACAGCAGACTCTCCTGAACAAAGGGACTTTTCTGCCTTAATACTCACTACCAAAACGATCTAGAATGAAAGAAGGAAATGGCCATGTCCCCTCTCCCAGACCGGTTAGCCAATCAGAATGCTACTTCCCTGCCCACAACTCGACCCATTGTTGTCCATGAGCTCCAGAGGTGACAACCATCGACTCAGTAACAAGTTCCACTTGGCCTCCTGTTGTCCATGGCTGGACACCCCGTTGTCCATGGGTTCCAGAGGTGATGACCAGGAGCTCAGAGCGTGATCAATTAGCATACAGTAACCAGTTCCTTTAAAATGTGTTAAAAATGTATAAAATGAGCATGAAACATACAATTTATCAAAGAACATACAAAATTCTTAAATCAATAGTGTACATGGGTATCCAAACATTTTGACATATTCGCCAAAACCAAGCAATCAAGACCAGCAAAAATGTTTCTATGTATTAAAAATTAAAACTTTTTTTCTGTCTTGTCAAAGATAAATCACTAATTAAGAATGAGAACGGTTTAGTTTTTCTCCTTTTTTAAAAGAGGTCTGAAATATCCCACATTTTGATTTTGTTTTTTATACCATTTTCCTGGATAAAAGAAAAATGCCTAATATCCTACCAGCAACAAGTGCAGATAGGATATTTAAAAGCATAGTACAAGGAACAGACACTCCTGGAGTACACCCTCTGTTGGAGAACATGGCAACATTGTTTGGATGTTAATCCCCCTGAAGTTCAAATCTTTTTTGGGAAAGCTGGAAGTGTGTCAACAACCCAACCTCAAAATCTAATCCAACATTGGATAATCACAACTGCCACATGTCTAAAACCTTGTTCAGTTACGGAAATCTATTTGTATCACTTTAACTGTACTGTACAGTCCTCTGCTATAGTTAGAGAAACTGTTACACAGGTTGATAAAGGTACTTAGCCTTGTGCCTGAGCTCAACCACTTCAAGAGCTCCGTCTGGAACACAAGCATTCCAGACTTCCAAAGTAGCGTAGTGTTTTTTTTTTTTTTCGTTTTTTTTTTACTTGAAGCGACATCTATAAGGTTGATTTTAGAATTGGTTCCTCATTTTTTCAGCTACGTGGAGCAAACATTAAATCTTCCTGGAGTTTGAACCAAACATTAGAGAAGAAGAAAATTGAGACCTGGAGGAAACCCAAATGAATATTAGGAGACTGTTTCTATGCTCATCATCATTCTAATTTATAAAACAGTTTTACAATATTTAATTTTGAATGCTTATTGATTGATTAATGTGCATTTAAATAGGTTTAACAGTTATATGAAGTCACAACTTCCCTTCTGTTTTATTAATCTGCTGTTATGAGAATGATTTCAGTTCAAATGTATATTTTGAGTGAAACCTGGATTTGCAATAATTCCTTCACTGGCTTAGACCAAGATATATTTCTACATTTGTTAGTGAAATATTATGTTTTATATTTGCATAACACTCTTTTTAACTTTAAATGACTGTTTTCCTTTCTGCTGTAAAGAAGTGATTAAAACTGAAACTTTGACCCTGTGCTTTGTTTGTGTCAGCTTGCTGTTGTGCCTTTGCTTAATTAGCTATGAAGTTTGTGTCCTCGGGTATCTGCAGTCACCTCAGCGTCTCGCTCAGCTTCCGGTCACCTCCAGCTCCTTTTATTAGCTTTTCATTTATCTTCATCAATAGACTTATAGCATGCAAATAGCTGATGTAATGACCAGAAACACTTTGCATTAGAATTTGTTTTATTTTTCTCAGACTGACATCTCTAAAGCCAAACTAACAATGAAATAAATCAATGTGTATTTTTTCCCCTCGTTATTTACAGCTTGGTTTAGGACAGTAGAAATGTCTGTAAAGCTGTGTGCTGAGCTGGATGTGGGGGTGGCGGGACAGATATTCTGAAGTGAATCCTGTCTGTTCTGTGCTTCACCTCCTTTAAAAGCTCCTGTGTGCTCTCCAAACAGTAAGCTTCTCATCTCCACTTCCTCCTGGCCAGCGTTTGAGCAGGTGAGTGCGCTGAGCCAAGGTCACAGGAAAAGTTGAACATAGCTCTGAGGTTTGTACTGCTGCTGTCTCAACGTCGGTCTGTGTGCTTCACATATCATCGTGCGTGTGTGTGGGGGTGAGGGGAGGGGTATTTGTTAGTTAAGAAGCTAACAAATACCGATTCCAGGAACGCATGAAGTCTGATCATCTATGCAGTACACTAGTTTAGATGAAAGTTATGACCAAACTAACTTTGGTCAATGGACATATTTGATGGAACAAACATGTGCATTATATGATGACCCTCAAAGGTTACTATCAGAATATTTAGTCTGCAGCAAACAGAAAGTTCAGACTGATCAGATCCTCTTTTCTCCTTCAACTTAGTAAATCAATTGTTAGTGTTATTACACCATAACAATGGTTACAGATAACCATAATGACCATCCAATATGAATAGACGATTATCTTCAATAAAGACAAAAATGTAAAACTCAATAAATAAATACAAAAGTATAAATTTTCTGTGGGTGCCACTTTGCTATTATAGCTAGAGGTACTGAAAGAAAATGGTCATGGAGGGCTAGACCAGGCCATATACATACACACACATATATATTAATATATATATAAGAATGTACAAATTACAATATTAAAGTCGTATTTTAACTCTGTTTTTGAAAATGTTACTTTTTAATTATTTTATCATAATATGACCCTAATATGCAGTTGTAATATTTTTTCTACTGCACTGGTAACAATAGCAAAGTGGCAGGTGGGGAATAAAAATACTTGTACAGATGAGTGATATCCATAAAATTAGGTGAAATTTGCAATGGCAGTTGTTAAACTAGGGTAATGTTATGCAGATTTGGAGAAATGTGCAAAAAGACAAAAATAAGAAAACCTGTAACTACTGTAATTCTCACACTATAAACTACAACTTTTTCCACTTTGAAAAAAGCAATGCATGTTATTGATGCAGCACGTTGCTACATCCTGGATCAGCATGTGTCAGTCAAACCTGAGACAGGATGCCGGTCCTATCCAAATGTAGATTGTCCAGATCATGCTCATACTCAGATCCTGCGCCCAGCAGGTTCCTCAGAGGACCAGACTGTCCACCTTTATTGCAAACCCCATGTGATCTGAAGACATCACTGTTGTGCAATCACCCATCAACTTAGTGCTTAGATTCTGTTTTGCAGGTCTGAAAACACTTTTGACCTTTAATATGATTAATGGTTCTGAACAATTTGCTTTGACATTGGCTTATCCTGTACAGACAGCAGACACTCAGATGTTTTACATTTACTGAGAAAAACCTTCCTAACATCTGCCCTAATCCAATGATAACACTCATTTGTGCTCCTCCAATCAGAATCAGTGTTGCTGCTACAAAATATAGAGAAATTGCAGATGATGAGCTGTCCGTTGTGAGTTCAGAAGAAGCTATGGCGAAATGAGGACAGATCTCATGAGTGAGACGTGTCCTCATTAGCCTTCACCCATCACACTGGCTAACACAGAAAAATGAGTTAAAACGATTTAAATGTTTTCATTGTGCATTTTATGTATTTTACCAGAATAAATGAAATGCACCGTGACAGTCATGCTGAAGACTAAGGCCTCCTACACAGCCAATGGTTTGACAATGTGTCACAACAATTTTATTATTATTCAAATCTTATTTGTTATAAACATGTAAGAACAACAATGAAACGGACAAAAGCTAAACAACAGGTGCTGACATCACACATTTATTAAGAGCGGTGGGGTGGGAGGGCTATCAGAAGAACTCTGGCGCAAAATACAGAAGAAATGGCTGCCAGGTGATATATAGTTGAACGGAGTTGCTGACTCTGTTTCAGATGTTCAAGCTTCAGAAGAAACATGACATCTTCTACCCACTGCTCATGAGATGGAGGAGCAGCTCTCTTCCAATCAAATAATTGCAAGTAGTGTAACAAATATTATGACATTGGCCTGCTGCATTGTTATTGGTGTAGCCGGTAGGACAACCCCACTACAACCCAAAGGACTGAAGCCTGGGGCAAAACCAAAATGCCTGCTTTGAGAAAGAAACACTGTAATTATTGCTCCAGCCAGAAATTTTTGCTTTGTTTTTCCATGTATCTGAGTGAGTGCGTAGTTTCCCCCTCCCACCTGCCTGGCTGCTTGTTTCAGAGGGAAGTGGGAGTAAGATTCATTTAATGGCTTTTCATATCAAACCTGCATGTAATAAACACTCACATTTGAAAGTCTGCACGGATGGCTTTGGTATTAAGTATGTACCAGATTGAAATGACATGTTTTGATACAGATTGCCACAGAGTAAATTTTTTTTAACACATTAACTTCCCCATGCTCTTTGTATCTAAACCCCAGCAATATGCGTCAGGCTGCAGAGTAGTTCAATCAGAGGTATTTTCTAATTAAAATGAGTCCAGGAGCTAGATGCAGAATGATGCTCAGTCAACACATTTCCTTCCATATGCAAGATGGAAACTGGGATGCATTCACCTCACGCTCTTTACCTTGCTCTATCACATTGAAAGGGATTTAATTTATTTTCAGTTCAGCTTATTTAGCGTCAATTCACAAAAATTTCCAGAAAAAATTGTATCACTTCATATTAAGTTTTTGTAATGAACTCAGGTGATGCAGCAATGTATTATAACAAAATTTAACTTGGATAAAGACATCTTAATTCTGGGACTTAAAGAGTCATTTAGCAAGTCCAGCGTTCATTTCAAATGAAATAAAACATAAAAATCAGTTTAAAGTTTAGTACTTGTCGTGACCTCGGAAAAATCTGGCACTGATTTAAGTTTCAATTTCCAACAGTTCTTACAATAAATGATTGCAACATTTAAAATCATTACAGATAACCATAACAATGGCCACCTAATATAAAGTATGCTAGGAAATAAAACCCACTTGTACCATGTTCTGGATGTGAAGCCGTAGTTTTCTAGCAGTGTAGCTTAAGTGCTGTGACACTTGAGATGGATGAAATATTTGTGTTGGTCTAAGACTAATTTGCATCCTAAAAATTAACTGCTACAATTAAGAAATTGATAGCTTAACAAAAACCCACTTTTAAAAAACCTATTTAAAACCTGTTTAATTGTGTTTAAAATTATTAAAATTACATTAAATTATTAATTAAAATTTTTTTGGGGTGACTAGATTAATTATTTGGCCTATGCTCTTTGCTACAGAAATAATAATTTAGTTGCTGTTTAACATTTTATGCCACCTTGGTTTTCATAGAGCTGTTCTCATTGGCAGATGTGAAGATTTTAGTTGCTTCTGTCCTTGATTTTTTTTTTTTTTTTTTTTGCCTTTGTTAAAATATTCAAATTTTTTGTTGCATAGTAGCATCTCCCTGCAGGAGAAGCACATGATTTCATACAGAAATGGTAGGGAAAGGATAGTTTATATTGCCTGATGAAAATTGTAATGAATAATTTAGTTACAAATGAATTCAACTGAACAATTATACAGCTCATTTAATTAAAAAAAAAAATCAGTGAGAGCAATGATGCTCTAATAAACAAAATCTCAACCTGTGTGCAGGTTGGGATATTCTAAAATTATTCTGTTTTACTTTAAAACTTTTATTGCATGGGATGGATGGTAATTGGACAGATGTAAAAGTAATTCTCAACTGTTGTAGTGATACCATTACACAATATGCTCTATTCAGTTGCATGGATTCTAATTAGGCTCATTCTATATTCTGATGGAACTATGGTTTCACAGTGAGGACTGTCAACATTCAGAATAGAGACAAAGATTTTGCAGAGAAAACACAATTTGCTCTAATTCTGCTGCACATCTTTTACCTTAATAAATTTCATCTTTTGAAAATATATTTTTTTTATGAACAGAACAGAAAGCCCAGGAAAATTTATTTATTTTTTCTTCCCTCAGTAATCCAACTCCAAGGTTGCTCATGTTGCCAGCCATGTCAGTCAAATCTGATCAAACCCAGAGTCCCACAGAAGTAGACCAATGCAGAGTTTAACAGTTGGCTGTGCAGATTGATCTGTTAATAAATAATAATGTTTACTACACAGCTGATATTAATTAAATCATGAATTATTAATTTTGCTGAGAAGCAGGAATATCCAGTAATGTGGCTACTTTTCAATCCTCAGCAAATTCAGAAACCCACTGTATGTTTCTTACATGTCTACTATTGTATCCCCGGCAGGACTCCTTGTGTTCACCACAGCTCATCCTGGAGGATGAGGGTCTGAGCCGGCTGGCCCAGACTGTTCAGCTGCTGCTGGAACTGGCAGATGGCTCCTGCGGGGCCCCTAAGCAGGAAACATTGACTGCTGCTGGCTCTACTCAGAGCCAATAGCTGTGTCAGTAAACAGTGACATCATCCAACAGCCAGCAGCCTTAATAAGTTTCATCTTAAAACCTTTTTATACATTCCATTAACTTTATTGTCGGGGATAAATTCAACTGTAAACACATGATAAACCATGAAATAAATCTAAACAGATTAAAGCATGGCGTCTCATTTCATGTG